TTTCACAGACGCATGAAAATGACTCTAAAATCTAATAGTTACTAACAAATAGTTTTTATTTAGTGAATATTCATCACTATCATTCAACTGGAACACAAATCTAATACAAAGAAAACATTATAGAGTGTTTTTCACAAACCCGTGAAACAAAGTGCAATAATTAGAGTGTAATAGATCGTAATTGTCGCGTAGAGACAATAAAAACAAACGAGCCAAAGTGTAAAAGCGATAAATATACTAAAGTGTGTTTCACGGGTTAATGAAAACCACTCTAACTGTTCCAGTTGAGTGACGGATAGCGACTATAATAGTCACTGTAAGAAACTATTTAGATTTTATTTCATGGACATAGTGTAAGCACTTTACACCCACAAATTAATAAGCCCGACTTCAAAAAAAATCACTATTTTCTATAATATCTAACAAACAAACTTTGTACACTTTGGTTTTAGGTATCAGAATAATGGCACAAAGCTCAGAAAGGTTTRTCAAAGCTACTGGTGGATTTGGGATTTACCAATGGAGGCTTTGCTTTATCGTTGCATCAGCTGTTTATGCTGCCACATTACCATTTATGGTCATGACATTCAGTACTGTCAACCCTCCTTGGAAATGCACAGAAAACTCTACTCAATGCAAACTACAAGGCAACATTGACCCAGGAGATGACAATTATGATCACCGATGTAAGATTCCACGCAGCGAATGGAAATATGATGTTGAAAAAGACTTTGATTCGATTGTTACTGAGGTACATTGTACATCGAGTTTATTGTAATTATTCAATAAAAACTGCAAGTAACTAATTTGATTTCCGATAATTTCAGTGGGATTTGGTTTGCGACAGAGCTGTTTATCCCAGCATTGCTAACTCAATGACATTTGTCACGTGGATGACKGGAGCTACTTTAGGAAGYATCATCAGCGACAAAACTGGAAGAAAGACTGTAGCTATTCCCTCTGTGGTGTTGGTCTGTTTGTGTGGACTCATATCAGCCTTTGCAGGGAGATACTGGGTGTTYGCAGTATTYCGATCTCTTATGGGCATCRGCTTGGGTGTGTAAGCTTTAGTCTCATYCTATATCCTCATCCCATACCGTTTCTAACAGTGCCTTCATTCCCAAGAGCTGGTTAATCATTTCTTTTTCTTGTCAGGTGGATACTCTGTTTGTATCTTTACGCTTGTCATGGAGTATGTTGGACCGAGTTATCGAGGTAAAGTTGGTTTCGGGGTGTTCTATGGCTGGACCGTGGCGCTGTTTACAATAGCCTTGTCGGGTTACCTTATTCAAAGCTGGCGTACTTTAAGCATTATTCTAAGTGTACCGGGATTGCTGTATTTCATCTTTTGGTGGTTAGTAATGCATATCTAATAAGAGTCTGAATGRAATTGTGAAATCATAAAGATCCAACTTTTGCAAAATAGAATTGACACATGGATTTAATGTAATCCATAGAAATTTATCAAATGGATGAATTTACAGGTTAACTCCAGAGTCTCTCCGGTGGTTGATKGCAAAAGGAAAGGTCGAGCAGGCAAAGGAAACATTTCGTAAGATTGCTCAAGTCAACAAGAAGGAGATAGGGGAAGAACRAATTGCATCGCTTGGAGAAACAACTGCTGAAGAATCCGCTCAAATTGAGCGTTTAGGTGACATTCGAGATTTGTTTTCGACTCGAAGATTGGCATTTCGAACACTGGTTTCTTGGTATGGCTGGTAAGTGTCTTTTGTAAGCTACACAAACAGCTCTTGACTATGGGATTCCTGTGGTAAAATAAAAGAGGCCCATTCCTCCTCGGTTCTGATGACAAAGGAAGACCATGTGTATTAACGATAAATGTATCTTCAAACAGGGGTGTATGTGGCATGGTATACTACGGTATATTTCTCAGCGGGCCAACTCTTGGTGGAAATATGTATCTAAATCTCTTTATCACAAGCTTAATTGAAGCTGTTGCCATGTTCATAGGAATGATTTCACTTGACAAGTAAGAAGAAATTATTTGGAAAATGATTTTCCTTACAAAACGCTAATGATCATTAT